GAGGAATCCCCCCCCAGAGCGACGGCTCCTCCATAACCCCATCTCCTTCATTCTTCTCTTGGGATCTTGGGCACGCACTCACACACGCCCGGCCTGATTTTCAAGCCACCCGGTCTGGGACTCAAACTGCAGTCAGCCATGTTCTTGTCCAGTGACATAATCACTGTACCATCTGCCGCCCCTCCACTTTAGTATTCTAATGAGACATTATTTGTAAAATATTGTGATCAAGGATCCCTGTTTTTTTCCTACATGAAGGGGAAAGAAGAAAATGTTAAGGGGAAAAATATGTATTGGTTTGCAATTTCAAGAAAATAAAGCACATAGGGAGGTGGCCGTGCTGAGTGGCAGCTGACGGTGTGGACAGCCTGCTGAGGGTGTGGACAGCCTGCTGAGGGCCTGGCTGGCTCAGCAGGGCCGGCCTGTCCCAGGCCTCACAGCCCTGAGCATCCCGCTGTCCACGTCGCCGCACAGCAAGGTGCGGGAAGGGCCTCCCCGTCTGTGTTTCTTGTATGATGAGGCCTTCTCATGAGTCATAAATTGGCTTAAGTCTGCGTTCTTCCTGTTGAGCAGCTCAGCAGTTCCCGCTCTGTCTGCTTTTAGCAAGCCGCGGGATGTGGATTAAATTGATTCCGTAATCATCCTCCCACTCCTCACTGCTGAGAGTGACTTTCTGCCATTCCTCATTATGCAGATAGCCCTGGCGGTGCTGTCTATCCCCGCAGAGAGCACAGAGTTTCAGAACGCGGCGACACTTAGGACAAACGTTGTTTCTCTTCAGAGATTCAAAAGTAGCACGCTAAAACAGTTCGTCACAGCACACTCTTCTTAGATTGTATTTTAACCTGCTAATGCAAATATTCCAAAATTAAATCGCAGGTCATTTACTTTATTATAAAACTGCAGAGCATGTATTATAAGGAATTGTCTCTCTTTTCAAACATAGATTTTTAAAAATAATTTTTAGAAAAAGTATTTATTAAGACTGTAAGAATTCTATAAGAATGTTTTATTTGGAGCCAGTCAGTGACATGGTGATTTAAGGTGACTGGATTACCACATGGCCAACCACAGTTCGGGTCCCGGACCTGGTGGCTTGAAAATCACACCAGGCATCTACACATGTGTGTCCAAACTCCCTAGAGGAGAGTGGAAGAGAGGGGATCACAGCATGGCCAACCCCCTGAGGGGGTGATTTCTCACTTGCTCTCTCTTTCTCTGGCAAGTGTATACACCCTATAGCAAAAACTTTAAAAAAAAAATGTTTTATTCTTCAATAAGTTTTTTTTATATTTATTTTGAAGAAATGAAAAATTATTGTGGAATGATAAAGTTACTTGGTTTCAAAAATGTATCGCAAATTATTATACTTTGAAATGCAAATTAGAAATATCAACCAGCTTTTCTGGCTGGCCTCTGCTTACTGGGGAAGGGCACGGGCGAACTGCTTTTAGTGACGTCTGAGGTGACCCCGAGGTGCTGCTGGGGTCTCTGCGTGTCCCGCACCTTGTGTCTTAGGCCCGTATGTGGCTGACAGCTGAAGCATGAACTTGAGGCGCTCCTAAGCCTGTTAAATGTCAGGGTACAAGAGTTACTGTCAGTCTTTCAAAGGCAGTGCTCTAATTTCTTTACTGATTGTTCCAGGTAGTTATGAAAATCAGTATGCAACATCAGTAAAATGGAGGAGTAAGCGAGGAAACTGTAGAAAAAAGTAAAACCACAAGCAGGAATTAGGATGAAGCTAGCCTCTTAGGATACACAGGCAGGTACGACTGGCATGGCCTTCTCCAGTCATACTCTCCAGGTCTCCCGAAAGTGGCTTAAGAAACATCTTAACCTGCAACTCAAGAAACAGCAACCAGGAAACAGACAGGGAAGGTCCATTTGGTCAGTAAGATGCCCCAGACAGCTGGACCGATTCTCAGAACACAGGCTCAGCAGACCGCTCCAAGCAGTCAGTGTGTCTTAGAGTGTCCCTAAGTGATTGGCCAAGGGTCTCAGCACTTCCAGTGATTCCTAGAGAGCATCACCCTGTGGAGAGGCAGGGCTGTCTCGTCACCCTGTGGAGATGCAGGCTCCTTCAGCGATGTCCTGCCTCTCCCCCATGCTGAGGCTCTGCAGCTGCCCACTTTTGGGAGCCCCCCTGCACGTCGCCAGCACCCACGCAGTTCTTCTCTGCATGGCAGCTGGGACCTTCTGGAGGGTTCCCAGGTGCCATAGGGCTGTGCAGTCTCTTGTGTACTGACTCGTGTCTGGACCTGGCAAAGCACTTTCAACATGGCGTACCGGGGGTACAAAGCTGGATTTAGGTTTTTAACCAAAAACTGTGTTACAGCCTTAATGGCTGAAAAAAATCCATACAATTTAGTACCCACAGAAATGACTGACAGACAGGGCAGCAGAAGCTGTGGAGGTTAGGGCACTGGGTCCCACATGGCTGACTGTGTGGTTCGAGTCCCAGACCTGGTGGCCTGATGCCAGGACATGTGCATGCCCAAGTCCGAGGAGGATGCAGGAGAGGGCATTGTGGCCTGGCGTACCCCTGGGGGTGATTTCTCACTCTCCCTGTCTCCCTCCTCGGCAAGCTCATGCAACCCGTAGCAAACTAAAAGAGAAAGAAAAGGGGTGCCTGGCGTGTTACTCCTGTTTCCACGTTCTCTCTTTCCCCCTCTTACGAATGCCTCCTGCTTTTCTCTCTCCTGTTGTCCTGCCGTACTGCAACCTTCAGATATCTAAGCTACCGCGTGGGCTAAGTAGATCTAGCGTAAGACGGGCTTCGGCCCGCGTGCACTCGGGGTGAGTGAACCACCGCCTTGGTCCCGCAGGTGTGCGCAGAGGAGAAGTGCGCGGCGCTGGCCAACCTGGCGCACATGATGAGCCTGTACAGCACGCACACGTACTCCCGCGACGGCCCCAGCTGGCTCTCAGGTACCTGCACGACTCCGCCGCAGACACCACGCTCAGCCTCGTCACCTACCTCGCAGAGGTACGCCGCCCGCCCTCCGCGTGCGCCCGCGCCTGCATCTGCGTCTGCACCTGCGTCTGCGCCTGCGCCTAGGGCTGTGTGCGTCTCGGATTCCACAAACCATTCCGCTGCAGAGTTTTCAAGTGGATTTATTTCTAGAAGTAGTATGGATAGTAACTCATCCTCAAATTGTCTTTGAGGCTATATGGGTAGTACTTTTATTCTTTTCTTTTTAGGGCTGTGTGCGTCTCGGATTCCACAAACCATTCCGCTGCAGAGTTTTCAAGTGGATTTATTTCTAGAAGTAGTATGGATAGTAACTCATCCTCAAATTGTCTTTGAGGCTATATGGGTAGTACTTTTATTCTTTTCTTTTCTTTTTTTTTTTTTAAGAGGTTTTTGCCTTAGGGCATGTACGCTCACCAGAGAGAGACAGAGACAGTGAGAGGGAAAGTGAGGAGTCACCCCAGGAGGGGATGGCCACGCTGCAATCCCTACTCCTCCACTCCTCCCAGGATCTTGGGTATACACACACACACAAGTGTGTATTTTCTCACTCACTGCCCTATCACCGCGCAGGTAATAGTGACATGCCGTGTGATGTGGAGGCCGTGAGAAGGCTCTGGTCCAGAGCTTAAACCGCAGTCGGTCATGTGGGAGTCCAGTGACATAACCTCTATGCCATCTGCTGGCCCGAAAGTGTAGCGCCTTTTTAATAATAATAATGATAATAAATCATAGGTAGGCCACATAATTCCTTTCAAGTATGAAGGTTTTATAGAAATGGCTCTTGCGTTTGTCCTTGTCTTTGCTGTAGGGTATATGCACTTGCCAGCGAGATTGGGAGGGCGTTTGAGAGATCACCTCCTAGAGAGGACGGCCACGCCTCTGTCCTCGCCTCCATTCTTCTCTTGGGATTTTGGCCACCCACATATACAACCGGCATGTTTTCTAAACGGCCAGGTCCCGGACTCAAGCCATGCAGTGGGCCACGTGGACTTAGCCACCTTAACCTGTGTGCCAAAGATGGGTTTATTTTTCACTTCCAAGTGTGTATTTTCTCACTCACTGCCCTATCACCGCGCAGGTAATAGTGACATGCTGTGTGTTGTGGAGGCCGTTAGAAGGCTCTGGTCCGTGCCCAGGGCCCACCTGGACACAGCAGGCAGGCTGGGAACCCCGCTGCAACCCTGGCTGGCTGTGGGGCTGGGAGGGGGAGTGCGGTGTGAGGCTCCTGTTCAGGATGCTTCTCTCTCTCTCAGGGGAAATAAATAAGCCTTTTTGTAAGTTAATATTTTCCTGTGGCTGCCTAAGAAGTAACTTCACACCTAGAAAATTGCTTCACTGAGTAGACCACACAGAGAACCTCAAAGGAGGAAATCCCTAGTCACAACAGACGTCTGCCAGCCTAGGATAAAACAAGAGCTTAAAAAGTTGACCTTTAGGCAGTAAACATGAAACAAATTGAGAAGAAATTATTTATAGCTCCTTAACATTTTCCGTTGATTCCTTCCTTTCATGAGAGTTTGAGGCAGGGAGTACAGGAAGACAGCAGACATCCTCGGTAGGGTCTGACGAGGCAGCCCAGCCCAGCCTTGCTGGCCAGCCCGGAGCCTGGGTGCACCCCGCAGACACAGGCCCTCCGGGAACCACACCTGTGCTCTCCAGGCAGGCCCAGCGTCATCTGGGCAGCACGTCACCACTGCCCCCAAGCTGACCTGCATGTGGCGATACTGCTCACAGCCCTGTTTAATGCAGCTCAGTCACCGAAGGTGACTCACAGTGCCTCAGAGCTGGTATGGAGTTGTGTATAATAAAGAATGATTTGTTTTATTTATTATTTTTTAATTTGCTATCGGGCTTATGCGCTCACCACAGAGAAAGAGAGGAAAAACAAAATGAGAAAGCAACCCATTCGTCAGGCCTGGGACCTGAACCGCCGGTGGCCATGTGAGAGTCCAGAGCCTTAACCACCATGCCACCTGCTGGCCCCTGATAAGGAGCTTTTAAGTGTTGTTTTTGACAGTTTGGCTAGGTCGACAACGGCAGGGGCCTGCTGCACTGTCTCAGCCCGAGGGACGGCTCATTGCTGGATGGATCTCCTGCACCTGCAGAATGAGAGCCAGCAGGAGGGCGGGCGTGACTCCTGAGCCAGCCTTGAATTAGCGTGCCCTGAACCAGCTTCGCATTCACCCCGCAGTGCTCCCCACTGTGCAGGTGCTGGCTCTCTGCAGGTCCAGGGGTGGGGTTCTGAGGCCTGGAACTAGCACCCGCAGCACAATGCACGAGCCCTGTGAGTCCCACTTTCCACTCTTAGAGACAATGCTTTCCATCCCTTGTGTTATTAATTCTGGAAATATCACAGATGGTAGCACTAACACCAGTTACACCTCCCTTACCGAAAGTACACAGCTGTCACCCACCTGCAACCCTGTGAGGGAGCTACTGTTACTGGTTTACACTTTAAAAGCATCAGGGCTGGGGCCAGCCAACGGCACATCGGCTAAGGCAGTGGGATCCCATATGGCCGACCGCGGCGTGAGTCTCGGACCAGTGACTTGAAAAACATGTTGGGTGCGTGTGCGTGCAGGCCCAGATCCCAAAACAGCTGAGAAATTGAAGAGAAGGGCTCGCATGTGACCTCCCCATGGGAGTAGTGAGCAAGCACGCCCCCCCACAAGTGCATGCACCCTCTCCAAGTTGGGAGGACAGGGTAGAGAGTCTAGGAAAGGGGATTGAAACATCTGTTCTTAGAAGGAAGTCCCTGTAGAGGGCAGTAGGTACCCAAATCGAGAGTTTGGGGGGAAATCGAGGTTCAGAGAAGTTAAGGAACTTCAAGCATTCATAACTAATAAAGGTCTGGTTGGGTGTGGCTTGCCGGTGGTTATTCTTTGATGATGGTGGTAGTGAGGTCCTCTTGACCTAAAGTAAGAGGGGTTTAAGCTAATTAAGGAAATGCTTGGTGGTGGGGGAAGTCGTGATGTTTTTGTTTTGTTTTTCTATGCAAAAATGTATTGCTACTTTCCCAACGGCCCAGGAGAACCCTGTGATCTGACAAGATAGGAAAGGGAAAACAACAGTAATAGTCCCTGACCCTCTTCACCGTCCACTCACGGGTTCCACCCGCCACCTTTTCCACACCGTGAATGTAAGTGCCTTGAACCGCTGAGTGTCTTTGTCCACACCCTCGCAGCTGCTAGAGAAGGGGCTGTCCAGCATGCACCAGTCGCTGCTGCAGATCATCCACAGCCTGCTGAGCCACGCCGACCTGTCTGCCGCCCCCGCCAAGCAGTTTAACCTGGAGATCATCAAGATCATTGGCAAGTACGTGCAGGTGAGTGATCCGCCCCAGCCCCGTCCCGCAGAGGTGCGGCGTCACCTGCTCGGCCAGCGTCCGGACAAGCGTGGGTAATCCACAGAGCGCTGACTCAGGAGTGCGTAGCGCCCAGGACACGGTCTCCGTGTAGCAGGCACGTCAGGGAGTATGTGCTTCGGTCGTGACTGGAAGGAGGTTTCCCCGAATGGCAGCTCCTCCTGACGTACCTCCTTCTCATCTCCAGGGATTAGGATGTGGTTCTTGTTCTTTTTTCTGCTTTTTAATTAGATTCCACATATTAATGGACAGATAGTCCTTTTAGAAACTGAAGACCTCTTGGGACCAGCAGTTAGCGTAATGGCTATGTCGCTGAACTCTCTCACGTAGTCCACCACAGTTCGAGCCTTGGACCTGGTAGCTTAAACTCACACCAGGCGCAGGACCAGCAGTTAGCGTAATGGCTTTGTCGCTGGACTCCCACGTAGTCGACTGTGGTTCGCGACCCTGACCCAGTGGCTTAAAACTCACACCGGGCACGTGTGCGTGCATGCCCAAGATCCCGAGAGGAGAATGGAGGAGAAGGGATTGCAGTGTAGTCATCCTCCCCTGGGTGGGGGTGATTTCTCGCTTTCTATCTTTCTGTCTCTCTCTGTCTGTTTGGCGAGTGCACGCGCCCTATAGCAAAAAAACTCTTTAAAAA